CATATGTGTGTGTGTGTGTGTGTGTGTGTGTGTATATATATGCCAAACCAAGGGAAAAAAGATTTATGCATATATAATTTTTTCAGTTAACATCTGCAAGCATAAACAACAGCAATCTCAGTTTATAAATTCATTAGGGTTAGAGAAATTGACTAATGTCTTTTTTACTGCTAGGCTGACCAACAGTAAATTACAGATGAATTAGTGTCCTTTTGTTTCTCTTCTCTCACTCTACTTGTCCAGAAACATTCTGTTGTCAGGTTTCAGTGCAGCTCACCTCCAGCCAAAGTTAATTTTTAGATAAGTACTCAGTTACTTTGAATTTTGCTTATAATTATAACCTATTTAATCACAGAGGAACCTCTGCAGTGGTGGAGTTCAGAGTTGCATGCAATAAGAGGAGATCACAGTTTTGAGGTCCAGCGCAGATTAAAAACCACAGATGTACCAGTTATATAAGACACAGCTCGATATTTTGATGCAGATATACATTGTGAAATAATCACCACAGCCAAAGTAATGAACATATCCATTACCTCACATAGTTACCTTTTATTTTATTTTTTTTGTAGGGGCAGCACTTAAGAACTCCCTTCTTAGCAAATTTCAAATATATGTTATATTTTAATTTCCATTTTGATTTCTTCTTTGACCCATGAGTTACTTAGATTATTATTGCTTAATTTCTAAATATTTGGGGATTCTCTTTTTGATATTTACTTATAGTTTTATGCCACCATGTTCAGAAAAAAATATAGTTTTAGTTACTTGCAATTATCTTAAACTGGCTTCATCTTTCATCCTGTGGTAAGTTTTAGTAGTGATTTAATTGTATATTCTGCAATTTTTGATTTCCTGCATTTTGTTTTAATTGATTAGGTCAAGTCTGCTTATTATGTTCCTCAAATATTGTACATCTCTATCTTTCTTGTTAGATTATTTTATTTGTTATGGAGAAATGAATTACTATCTTCCTATCTTATCATAAATTTGTTATTCCATTTAGTTCTGTTATTTTACATTGTTTATATTCTGAAGCTAAGTTCTTAGATGTTTCACATTTAGAACTGATACTTTCCTGCTTGGTGTACTGACCCTTTTATCATTATGAAATATCCTTCTTCTTGTCTAGTAACAATTCTTGCATTATGACGACTTTATAAGAGATTTGTATATTTTTACCAGATTTCTTTTGGTTGGTGTTTATACGATTCATTTTTTTTCAGCCTTGTACTTTCAACTTTCTGTGTCCTTATTTTCATCAAAAGTTTTTTAGATGCAATATTTACTTAGGTTTTTGCTTTTTTAAAAAGAATGTACTTATAGTTTTAATATGGATTTTTTATTATTTAATTACAGTTGTCCCCATTTTGCCCTCATTACTTTCCTCCACCCTACCCACCTCCACATCCCACATTGAATTCTCCACTCCCATGTCTTTGTCCATGGGTCCTTTATACATGTTCCTTGACAAGGTTTTTGCTTTTGATCCAGTGTGACTATGTTTGTCTTTTCTTTAGAGCATAGTCCATTTACATTTAATGTAATTTATAATATATTTAGTTCAAATCTACCTTAATGTTTATTTTCCATTTGTAATATCTGTTGTTTGTTTCCTTTTTTCTCTTTTAACATATTATCAACTGTTTTAAATTATTTCACTTCACTTCCATTATTATTAGCTGGGTGTTACATATTCTTTTATTATGTTTTCAGTGGTTACTATAGAAATTACAACACACACATTTGCTTTATTAGCATCTAGTGTAAAGTGTAAATTTTAAGTCCCCCCTTTTTAAAAAAAATTTTAAAGAAAGTTAGAATACTTTATTTTATTTACTCCATTCATCTTTTATTTTTTCAAGTATTTTAATTCCTCATTTTTTCAAATTCCATAGACTTTATTGTTGTTAATATTATTTTCCAACAGCCAATATTCACTTACATATGCTAATATATTTATTATTTCCATAGCTTTTTATTCATTCCAAAATTTCATGCTTCAGTTTGGAATAATTTTCATTTTACCTAAAAAGGTATTTAGTGTTGCCATTGGTATAGTACTGTTAATGATTATTCAACTGAAATGTTTTAGTCTTGAAAGTTTTTTTTAAAATTTTATTTCATTATTTTTCAAGTACAGTTTTCTGTCTATTTCTCCCATCCCAGCCCACCCTGCCCCATGCTCCCCACCTCCCTCCCATTTCCACCCCCCCCTTAGTTCTTGTCCCTGTGTCCTTCCTATTTGTTCCTCCAAATCCCTCCCCTTCTTTTCCCCTTAAATTCTCTTCCCTCTTCCCTCTGGTCACTGTCTTCTTGTTCTCTATTTCAGTGTTTTTGTTTTTTATTCTGCTTGCTTGTTTGTTTTGTTGTTTAGCTTCCTGTTAAAGGTGAGGTCATATGGTATTTGTTTTTCAACACCTGGCCTATTTCACTCAGCATAATGCTTTCCAGTTCCATCCATGTTGTTGCAAAGGGTAGTAGCTCCTTCTTTCTCTCTGCTGCATAGAATTCCATTGTGTATATGTACCACAATTTTTTGATCCATTCATTTACTGATGGGTACCCATGTTGCTTCCAACTCTTGGCTATTGTAAATCATGCTGTTATGAACATTGTGGTGCATAGGTTCTTTGAAATTGATGTTTTAGGATTCTTAGGATGTAATCCTAGCAGTGGAATTGCTGGGTCAAAAGGCAGGTTGATTTTAATTTTTCTGAGAAAATTCCATACCATTTTCTGTAATGGTTGTACCAGTCTGCAATCCTAAAAATATGGAACGCTTCACGAATTTGTGTGTCATCCTTGTGCAGGGGCCATGCTAATCTTCTCTGTATCGTTTCAATTTTAGTATATGTGCTGCCGAAGTGAGCACAGAAAGGTTTTTAATGAATAGAGAATTTAAGTTTGACAGATATTTTCTGTCAGGACATGAACACTTTTCACTGTCTTCTGGATTGTATCATTCTCATTGTTCATTTTAAAAAGATAATGAGTTTTTTCCTTTGTGTTTTTCAATATTTTAACCACTTTTATAGTTTTACTATGATGGGCTTATATGTGGTTTTTAATATATTTTTCTTCTTTTAGATTTGTAGGATTTGCCAAATCTGTAGCTATGGCCCTTTACCTATTTCAGAAAATTCTCATTAACTTTTCATATTGTTTTTTATTGTTTTTGATTCTGTCTTTCTCTCCTTCTCTTCTGAGAGTCCATTCCACATAAGCTAGATGCTTTCTCCAAATTACACATGTATCTAACTATCTTTATCTTTTTTATATTTCCCACACTTTTATCTCATCATATTTTAGCAAGTATATTTCTTCAAGTTTATTCATCCCCTGTTCTGTTAAACTCACCTATAGAGTTTCTTATTTCATGTAATCCATTTTACAAATTTCTAATTTTATTTGGTTATTTTTCATAGATTGCATGTTTCTTGAAAGATTCTTCATATCACATTTTGCACCTTATTTCCTGCATTATTTTAAGGTTAAGATCTGATAACTCTAATATCTGTTTACATGTGGGCATAATTTAATTGTTTATTTTTCTATTCGTCATTTTTATGGGCCTATCTAATAATTTCTACTTGACTGCTGAACCTCTTGCATGAAAATTCTCTATTAAAAGCTCAGGTGATGTGATCTTTATCCAAAAAGAACTTCCTCTGTCTTCTGGAATGTATTTGCTGTAGGGGTGATCACCATAATGTACTCAGAGGTTGACGTCGTAGAAATTGGGTTTCATCGTTGTAAGGACTGGTCCTTTTCCGGTCTGCCCTGATCCCTATGGTGCTGCCCTTCAGAGATCCCACCTTAAAGCCCAATCCTGCTGGTGTCTACAAACTGAAACTGCTGGAAGCTTTACTTATTTTCTTAGCCTCTTAGCCCCACACTGCTCATGAATTGGCAACTTCTTAAAGGGAAACATCGGTGTAGAAAGCTGGGCTTATTTTTCTTTATTGTCTTATTTTGGGCTCCTGTTCCATTATGTTCTGGGTGCCTTAGTGAGTTTGAACTCCAATTTTTGTCTCCTTAGCCACCTGAGACTTTCAAAAGCTCTGTTAATCTTCCTAGCCACCACTTGCTGTTTACCTTTTTAGCCTCTTGTGGTATTTTCTTTTTTTTTAAACTTTTTTATTGATTATGCCATTACATTTGTTCTATTCCCCCCATTCCCCTCCACCCTGCATACCCCTCCCCCACCATTTCCTCCTTTAGTTCATGAACACGTGTCTCAATTCCTTTAGATTCTATATTTCCCATGCTAATCTTGCCCCCCCATCTATTTTCTATCTACTGTCTATGCTACTTATTTTCTGTACCTTCTCCCCCCTTCTCCTCCTCCCACTCCCCTGTTGCTAACCCTCCTTGAGATCTTCATTTCTATGGTTCCGCTCCTGATCTAGCTGTCCTCTTAGTTTGCTTTTGTTTTAGGTGTGGTTGTTACTAACTGTGAGTTTGCTGTCCTTTCACTGTTCATCTTTTTTATCTTCTTTTTCTTAGGTAAGTCCCTTAGGTAACATTTCATATAATAAGGGCTTGGTGATGATGAACTCCTTGAATTTGGTCTTATCTGAGAAGCACTTTATCTTGTGGTATTTTTAAACATGTAAATATCTCAAGGGAAAATGAAAAAGCACAGATACTAGGCATTGAGAACATCTCAGAGAGGCTTTATTTCTCTCTCCAATATCTTGGCTCCTTAAATCTTGGCTCTCTTGGTAGCTCTCTACTGTCTTAAAGTAGATAATTCAAATCCAGTTTTCTAGTTTTTGTTGGGAGAAAGATTTATCACTACAGCTGGAAGTGGAAGTAACACACAAACATGTATGTATATTTGTGAGTGTATCAGCATAAGTGAAGTCTTTATTCATAAGGTTGTGATTAGTTTAACTAACAAATTCTGTGTTATTTTCTTTGGTAATTGGTCAGAGTAGAGAAATTCTTATCTAAAACCAACTATTATTAAGCTGTGACTTGCCTCTGTTTCCTAGGATTTTGTGTCATGTATTGAAAACTACAGAAGAAGAGGACAAGAGCTCTATGCATATTTATACAAAGATCATATACAGGTAAAAAAACAAAACAGGTCCTTTCTCTATGTAATAGCATGGAAGCCTCCCTGAATCTGAAATAAAGAATCAGCAGGGCCTTTGGTTTAAGTTCTAGATTGCTTAACTCAACCATCAAGTCAGTCCAACTTGCATGAACTGTGGAAGGGGTTTGAATCCATACCATCAGCAACTGAGGAGACAGGCAGTGAGTCTATCCACTCATCTGCTCAGGGTGTCTAGACTCCTTTGCTAGGAGCTAGAGCCACATTTGTAAACACAGCAGACATGGGCCTCACTCTCAGACAGCTTTACTAAGAAGGAGAAATATACATTAAATAACTGCAGAAATAAATAGATCATTATAACTTATGATGAACAATAGATACAGGAAGTACAGGTACAATCAGAGATCACAACAGGGAAAAGAATTTAATTTGGGCAGGTCAGAAGCTCTCTCAAAGGAGGTAACCTGTACGTTGAGATCTGAAGAAAGAGAAATACGGCCTAAAGTGTTTCTGAATAAATTATTTTGGCTAAGGGGAGGGCATGTATGAAGGTCCTGAGTCAGGAAAAAGCTGGATGTCATCAACTAACTGGAAAGACGAGAAGTGACTGACTGACCTGAGCTGGGCAGGGTGAGGATGAGGCAGGGTGGGGGCAGCCAGTGCTTGTCAGTGCATTAGGAATTCTGCTTTTTTTTTTTTTTTAAGTGCAGTGGGTTTCTGCTGATGAGGGCAGGTTTAGATATTCAAAACACCTCTCTAGGCATGATATTTCTGCGATCTAGGTAAAGAGCACTGGCTGTTAAGCCAGTAAGACTTCTGTTTAAATCTTCTTCAGTCTGTTTCTACTTAAGCCTGCAGTCTGAGCCTCAGGCTCCTGATCTTTAAGATGGGTTGATACTTCCTGTAAAGGTTAAAGAACAACTATAAAGCACCTGGATGGTGGCTGGCAGGAAATGACCCATATGTGGTAATGGAATGGCTAAGAAGTTATTTTTATTTGGTTTTGTTGTTAAACTTTATTTATTTATTTTTTGCAGCAAAATGGCTTTTTAAAAAATATTTTATTTATTTATCTTTAGAGGGGAAGGGAAGGAGAGAAGGAGAGAAATATCAATGTATGGTTGCCTCTCATTCATCCCCTGCTGGGAACTAGCCTGCAACCCAGGCATGTGTCCCACACTGGGAATCAAACCTCAGTCCTTTGGTTCACAGGCCCACACTCAATCCACTGAGCTACACCAGCTAGGGCATTGTTGTTAAACTTTAAAAAAATAATTTCTAATAATAGAACACAGCACATTACTAATTATATTATTTACTTTATAATTTCTCTGTTCCAGAGCTTGTGCTAGGTCTAAGAATTACAAAGATTATAATGGCACTGCTCTATATTAAGGGTTCTTAAAACTTAATAAGCAGACAAAGTAAACAAATAACCACAAACAGGGTGATGAGGCCTATTCTAGGATGTTCTGCTCTTAGGAGAGAAACAATGGGGTGTGAGGAGACATTAGGGGTATTGGAGTGGGGTGAGGGGTCAATGAATGGTAAAACAGTGGTGCCCAAGGGCAGGGGAAACAAAATAGGCTCTGATCAATTTAAGCCAAGTAACATGCTCTGATTTCCTCCACATAAGCTCCTTCGGGAGTCCACCACATGCCCTAAGAATAGGGGTTTGTGAGATAGATGTGCAGCCACACTACAGGAACACAGTCTGGCAGCACAGCCCCAGGCTATCTTATGAGTTTTCAGATTGTCAGACATGTCAGGGGTGGGAGAGCAGTTTGGGAGTGTGAAGTGCATGTGGGAAGGGTAGAACTCAGCAAAGTCTCCAAGACAAGAAAGAAAAGATCCAGCTTTCTAGAAGGTGGCCTTGCTCATTTTTATCAGCAGGCCTGACTGGGGTTTGGAGAGTCAAGAAAGATGCACAGAGTTCTACTGTTGAGTGAGGTATACTCAAGAAAGTCAGCATTCTGATGATAATCCATAAGGATACTTTCCAAGTGTTTAAATATTTTAGACAGATTGTTTCCATGTTTAAAGGAACACAGAAATAATCATTGTCTGTCAGAGATAAACAGGTCTGGAGCACTCACCCAAATTTTTTTAAGGGAAAATATTTTCCTAATGCAGGGCCCACTTCGTTTTCAGCAAAGTCAATTCCAAATTCTAGAAAGAAGTCAGGCTTGTCAAGCTTACCATGTTCTTCAAGTACTGCTTCTTGCAGATGCATTCACTGAGGTCCTCCCAAGAGGATGGTGATAATGAGACTCAGGGGCCTCAGCTCACAGGGCTCTCAGTCATAGACTGGGCAAAACTTCTCTAACATGGCATTTTACCCACAACTAAGAAGTCACTGGAGATGATGGGAGCCCACAGCAAGACAAAATAACATGATCAATAGGCAGTGCTCTGGAAGTTAACCCAAGCATCATTACGCCTCCTCATTCTATCACCAGCAAATTGAGCAATTCTAATATTTAATCTCCCAAATTTCTCATCGCTCTCAAAGTCCTGTCAAAAATAGCTGTCTGTCCTCTGGCCCTGCTCAGAGTTGCCTTTACCTTTTCAAATTCTATTTGTTCCCTTCTCTATGGTCCAGATGCTCTGGTTCTACCCTGTTATGTACACAGACCACCCTTTCTTATATCAAGTCCTCATTGTAATTCATGGAAATGCCTCCTCATGGCTGTGCTGTTTTTATAACACTGTAATCTTTACTGGGTAAAGCTTATTGCTAGATGCTTTCCACCCCAGAAATGGCCTTTCTCTCAGTAGTGGGGTGCACTGTGCTGTTGCACTCTATTCTGAGCTCTCTAGGGGCCAATAGGCTGTTGCTACTTCTTGCTCAATATCTTTATTTCTATTAAGTTTTGTCACAGCTTTATCAGATACAAGTATTAGAAAGTCAACTCAAACTGACCCAGGCAACAAATGAAATGTTTTATGCTATTAAAATGTCCAGGGAAAGCACAGGCCTCAGAATATAGGCATTCAAACCCCACTCTAAGGAATCTGTCTTCTCTCCCTTTCTCTTCTCTCTACTACATGCACACATTTACATACATACACACAAATTCATTAGTTACTAAGGCTTTTGAGGCACCAGGGCACATGAACAAGAGAGAATGTGAGTGTGAGGGGAACTCATGTTCTACTCCCTGGGCTGCACATCCTAGAATGAGGCAGTGTTCATGGGGAATCATTTTCTAAGTTGTATAAAGCCACTGTCTCCTTGCAAAGTTCCAAGGCTGTGTGCCGTATCTGTCTGAGGGGCCACTTTTCCTGATGCACTTAAAGGTGTCCTGGGACTGTGGTGAGTGGCCTGGATATATATCTACACATCTATTTCTCTGCACTGTCTCTTCTGTATGGGCTCTGGAGCACCATTGCCACCCTGGGGAATGATGCACAACAGTCCATCAATAACCATACAGTACCACTTAGATTTCCCAGTCTTGGGTGACATGTTAAATCCCAAAGCCAGGGCTAAAGTCAGCCCTACCGAAGCACTGGAGACTGAAAGCAGGGAAGGTCACCTAGAGGAAAGTCTCAATGATGCTATCCAAGAGTTTCTTTTTGGCCAAAAATCATAGCTGCCTTTAACATGCCAGAACCCCCTGCCTTTGAGTCTCTGGGGCGGCACTGGACCCATCTGAGTTTTGGACTGAAAGAGAACCTTGCGTTGTGCAGAAACACGGACATGACAGAGCATTTTGCAGATTTGGGAACTCAAGGCTTTTGCTATTTAGTCACCTCATGTCCTCTGCCCCAGGACCACATGAAGCTTATTATTGTGATTGAGCAGCCATTCATCTCTGAGGGGTCTCACTGCTGACACACAGATGTGTGGCTGCAGGCACTCAAGACAACTCAGTTTGCCTGTGATGAAGACTCAGGGAGCCATGAATCACAATTACATTGGTGGAGCCTTGGGATGAAGAAGATGCTCCTAAAAGACTAATTTGAAGTCCAGGGTGGACAACCCAGTAGCTCACGATTGTTCATAATCTATGTAGCTCAGTATGTTACTGCAAACACAGCAAAAATTTCTAGGGAGCTAAATAATTTTCCCCAAACAAGTGTTTGTTTCATATAACCAAATCCCTGTAAAAGGCTTTAGATAGTCATTATTTTTCTGGAGTTCCTTATTAAGCAGTTTGAGTATAGTGTAAAATGCTGTAACTGTTTTGGATATTAATGTAAGAACTGTGGAGAAACAAAATAATCTTGTTTCAAAGTAGGATTTAGTCAATGCACATTAATACTAAACTGGGTGAGGCACCACATAAAACTCTTGATTTATTGCTTACATAATCCCATGGTTTTATTATTACGGTGATAATATTAACAACATTTGACTGATGGGAAGATAAAAGTTCTTCAGTTTAAGTAGCTCATGAATGGTAAAAACAGGGTGAAAACCCAGGTTCATCTGATGCCAAAGACCAAGTTCTACCCACTATACTACCTTTGATATTTTCATGCAAATTTTCAAGTTCTGAGAATAATTGACCTGTTTAAAATTGTTTTTGATGTAATACTGGCAGAAACCATGAGTTAATAAAATGAAACTAGGCTTCCAGAAAAAGAATCTATCTCACAGGCTAAAGCAAAGGTTTTGGAATTAGACAGCTGGGTTTAAATTTTAGCTCAGTCACATGGTGGTTCTTGGAGAAATCACTTCTTTTCTCCTAGATTTGGTTTCCTTAAGCCAAGGAAACTTATACTATGAGGATAATAGAAGTCTTACATGTGTAAGTTTCACTCATAGAACCACTAGCTAGAGGAAGTGAGACACAATAGATGAGGGGATCAGCTTAACACATGATAATTTGTTTCTTTTCTTTCTACATTAAGTTTACACCACCTGTGCTTCTTGTTTCACCTTTCAGTTTCTGAAAATTTAAAATTAAAGTTTAGGGTAAATGTCATAAAATATTTGCATAATTGCAAGTTTACCCTGAAAGCAAAGTTGATTCAACTGCCCAAACTGAATTGAAATGTTTCCTTGGTAGGTGATGTATGAAACTCGAATGTGGCATACGAAAGCAGTTTAAGGGTGTTGCTGTAAAGGTTTGAGTTATACTCTAGCAGAAAGTGTGATAGTCAAGTGCCACAGGCACAAACTATAAGAATTTCATTAACACCAAAGGTTTTAGCTTCTGAGAACGTTCTAGAATCCTTGAACATTCTAGAAACATATATTAGGATTTAAAAGACCCTTTGATATCATCCAGGCCAAACCTCTCATTTCATAGTTGGAGATGTCCAGGGACAGAAATAACTTGCTTAACTCAATCTATTGCAGGCTAGTCTGCTAATTCCTGCCACAGTGCCATACCAGAGGACCAAAAGAAGTATTTTCAGCATCATTTTGGAAGGGTAGGGGTATGGTAAAATTTCCTGTCCATTTTGAATTGTATGGACTAGGTGAAATTCTCTATTTTATAACATAGATGCCCAATCCACTCTGATGATCAGCAGCAGGATCTTTGGGACCTGTCACTTTCTGCCCAACACCCAGCAGTCACATGGCTCTGAATTCTAAAGGGCTGATGTTTTTTTCCTCCCTTCTCCAGGATTAACTGGTCTTAAAACTGAGAAACCAATTTCTTCTCTGGGTCAGGTCTTGGATACACTACACATTTTGAGGGTACTTGGGGATGCCTATTAGGGGCCAGTTTTCTCAGACAATTATGAGGGACTTGGTCTGTTTACCCCAAGAAATTTGAAGTCAGGCTTGTGAGTGAAATGTCCAGGGGTTACACTGCCCTTCTGTTTTCCAGAGGCGGAGATGTGGCAACATCAAGGCAGCCAAAGCTTGGGCCCGGATCCAGGAGCAGCTTTTTGGGGAGCTGGGCTTGTGGTGCCACCCAGCAGAAGCCATACCCTGTTCCCAGTGGGAACTGGACTGGAGAGAAGGACCTGCTCGCATGAGGAAGCGCCTTAGATGCTTATCTCCACTGGAGGCCCTGAGTGCAGAAAGCCTCAAGGTAAGAGCTCCACGCAGCAAAGCAATGATGCTTCAGAGCAGGAAGAGTAGGGTACAGTGTCCTGAGCTTTTCCATCTCATTTTGTTTTTTCATCAGGACTCTTCCCAGTGTGCTTTGCAAGAGCTTTGATATGGGCAGGTCAGAGAGAGAATGTATATAGTTAAGGCAGGGTTGCCCTGATTTATTCCTGATGCTATTTAACAGAAAAAAAGAATCACTTACCTTCCCAGGTAACAGAGGAGAGATGCTGTAACCACAGCCTAAATGAGTGAGTGAATTAACAGGTGAATGATTCATATCTATACCACTGATCTAGACCACACTGACATCCACCAAAGTCCAGTAGAATAATCTGATAGCCATTGTTGGGAAAGAGCCACAAGATGATCACTGTCAGCTTGCATCAGTTACTTGTTGCAGAGCAGACATGACCAGCACTGCTCTGGGCATAATTATACAAGCAAATCTCATAGCAGGTTTTACAGTGGGAGCATCTTGAATTCAGCTATTTCTGCAAGCTCAAGTCAGTGACCCACTTAGTTTGAATGACATTGAAGCTGTACTGAATCCCTAAGCAATGGAATCTGGGCAGACCTCAGGGGCTTGCTGTAATAAATCTTGAACTCTGTCATCAGACTTACATTTTTACCTTTTAAAGGACTAGAAGCCAGTAGGATTGGTAGTGGATATAGAAAAGTCTGTTAATAGCTTTTTATTTCTTAATTGAACAATTCCCGATTTAAGAAAGTCTAAAAGCCAGCCTTCCAAACACTGGAACAAAAGACAGTGTTGTGTCCATTTTCTAGTCTGTAACCTCAGAGTCTTTTATCCACATTAAATCCTTTATAAAACCTAATGGGAACATTGTAATTCATTTATTCAGCAGACACTTGAAATTTGAATGTATTGTCAATGAACATCTTGTGGTATATAGTATGTTTCCCTTAATATATTTCTTGGGAAATGGGGGCAAGAGAAATAATTGTGCTGATGACCAAGCAAGAGGCAGGCTGCAAAGCCATGTCTGTCCCTGACCCCCCTCCAGAGTGGTCCACACCACAAATCCAAGATGCTATCTAATCTCATTTCACTATCATTTTTGGTGATTACTGTAATTCTACTTAATGGAAGATTGTGGGTTTTTCCCCTTTGACTCAAGAACATTAATACTTGCATTTTATTGTGGCCCTTTAGGATTTAGCATTTTCTCTTCTGGCGTCTGAGTCCGATGTATGTGATTTATTTGAGGTGATCACATGCATGTATATGTGAATTTGTAGAATGAGGGTCTGCATATAAGTAGTACCCAGGACTTAATTTCTCTGCTTTTATTTCAGGAAAACCAAGACAGAAATGGTGATATTTCTCAAACAAATGCTGAAAACAAAGGTACTCAGTTTATCAATTTACCAATTTTTTTATTTAAAAATTCAACCAATTTTTGGTTTTATTTAATATCTCATTAAAGAGACAAAATTAATATCTTGGAGGAAGAAAACATTGCAGGTCTAGAACACATAGTCCTAAGACTGTTTTCATTACTATGCTCCCCAAAATTAAGAAACCTACTCCAGGCCCCAGAGCTCCTTTAGGGGGAGAATTTTATGTAACACTGAAACAATATTTTTATTCAGGGAAACTATCTTGTCAATTTACTGTATCAGGGAAACCTAAAAAGTACCCCAAATAGTACAAATACATGTTCAATAGTATGTGATCCCAAACACATAGGAGGAAAATAACAGACTGTTTTAGAGTAAAAATGGATAGAATAGATATTTAATAGTTCTTACACTGAACTCTCTGATTGTAAAAGTTACTGATAAAATAGTCATTATTACAGTAGTCCCCCTATCCATGAGGGATACATTGCAAGACCATACTATGTTTTTCCTATACATTCACACCTTTCCACTTACAGGAAGCACTCTGATGCTTTGGGATCATTATTAAGTAAAATAAGCATAAGCACTGTGATCCCTTGACAATCAATCTGAGGACTGAGGCACTACTAAATGACAAACAGATGGGTACCATACACAGCGTGGAGATGCTGGATAAAGGGAGAAGTGCTTTCTGAATGGAGTGGAGCAAGATTGCTGGAGTTTTCATTATGCTACTCAGAACAACACACAATTTAAAACTTATGAAGTATATATTTCTGGGACTTTTCATTTAATATTTTTGGGCTGTGTTTAACTGCAGAGAACTGAAACTGGGTCAAGTGAAACCACAGATAAGTTTAGTACTTCCCAAACATAAAAAATACTTTGAATCGTATCTTATATGTATACTTATGCTTTATTTGTATCATATTATGGAGGAATTTGATTGAGTTGATTTGCTGAAAATTTGGGCTTCATTTTCAGAGGTCAGTTTGTCAGGAACACATTGGTACACATGGACACACAGATGTACACACGATATTTCAGGGTTTGTGTGTTTCTACCAGAAACTGCCTTTTGCTTCGGGCACTTTCTGTTCATTACTTTGACTATGTCCTAGGCTGCAGATAGTGTCATAGTTTTAACCAAATTACAGCTTCTTAGTATTGATCATGTTGTCTCATTTAAGATCTTAGTACTGGATTTTCTTTTGAGCTGGATACCTTGCCAGTCTGTAGTATTTCCCTAAACTGGGGATCCTGGGCTCTGAATCCCAGTTACATTTGGGAGTCCCACTGTGGTATAGGACTTATGATAACATTGTAATATCCATTTGCTTCTCTTCTCTCCACTCCAAGGCCCAAAGCTTAAGATCAAAATGAGAATCTGCCCACTCTCTCTTTCAGAGGGGGTAGGTGGCTACAGAGAGTGCAGTGGTGGAAATTGTGAGCTGAACTACAGTCATGGACTGCTGAGTCCTCTGGTCCCTAGGGAGCTCAATCAGTGGGGAAAAAAGGGCCTGTGGGTCTCCAACATGACTTCCTGGGCACCTATAACTACGTAGAGTTCTCCATGCTTGGGAAAGCCTGCAGGACACTTTTGTTCATTCATTTGTGAGAGACCCAGGTGGGAATGAGGTCACAGAGGTGATCATCTTGGCTTAAAGAAAATGTCTGGTAACCCCTTAACTTCACAGTCATGTGCAATATGACTGCTCCAGGAAGATGGACACTCAGGACAGGATGGAGGAGTAGAATCTAGAAATCCACATAGGTTTGTTCTTAGCTGGTACTCAAACATCCGTGCCCAGGAGCACATCCTTAGGAAATAAATGTAGGTGTGCACATGAATGACTGCAGCATAGTACATTCACAGAAGTACAGATACAGATACACAAACCACCTGTATCTCCGAAAAATAGGAGGTGAGTTGGGTGATTATGAAAAAGCAACACAATAAAATATTGTTTTCAAAGAACTTCTAATGAAATGGGTAAGTGCTCATAATACAATCTTGAGTAAAAAAAATAGAAAAAAACTATAAATGCAGTATAATTCCTATCATATCAAAAATTACATATGTGTGTGCTTATACATATATGTACTGAAAAGGTATCAGAAGTTAATAAACCAAATTGTGGACAGTGAAGAAAAACAGCCTAGAGTTGACAAGTTCATACTCTGGATGCAGAGGGACTAAGAGTCTGCTTCTATTACAACAATCATAATACCTTGAGCAAAGTATTTAGCCACTTTTAATTTTCCCATTTGTAAACTGAGGATAGGTAGAATCCAGAACTGATAGTACTGGATGAAAAATGTTATTAAAAGTACCCAGCACAGAGAACATGCTTACTAGATAGGATCTGCTATTATTTACACTATCTCTGGGTACATGAATATTTGTTTTATTTCTCATAATTTATGTTTTTTCCAAGTTTTTAAAAACTGTACAATAAGAAGACAGTGCTTCCATAATTTGTTTTTTAAAAAACATTGTTTTCAGCCCTGGCTGGTGTAGCTCAGTGGATTGAGCATGAGCCTGTGAAGCAAAGGGTCTCCGGTTCGATTCCCAGTTAAGGCACATGCCTGGGTTGCAGACCAGGTCCCTAGTAGGGGACACATGAGAGGCAACCACACATTGATGTTTCTCTCCCACTCTTTCTCCTTCCCTTCCCCTGTCTCTAAAAATAAATAAATTATTTAAAAAACATTGTTTTCAAAGAGTGAACAAAGTGAAATTCAGATAAAGTGAACCCTGGTGGAACAGCCAGGTCTGGGCACATCATTTGGAGGGAATCAACCCAAGGGCATGTTGAGCACACCACAGGGTTGGAGGGGTGATGTCCACTTGTGGAAACAGTGAAAGACACAATGAGATGCACACCACTCATGTCTTGCCTGAAACCTTGCAGTTCCTCACAACCAGGCAGGCCCAGACTACATACCACCCTTTGTGGTGTCAGGTGACTCATGTCAAAACTGTGTTGCTTTATGCCACTACAGATGAGATGACACCAAAAGAAACTGAGAGCGAGAGAGGTGAGGTGGCAGCAGATTGCACCCAGCTTACCTTCTTCCCTGCCTTACATGAAAGTCACCATTCTGAAGATTTCTTGGAACTGTGTCCGGAAAGACAAGTTATTTTACAAGAACTTCTTGATCATGAAAAGGTAATATAGCCCACCATGACTGTTCTTTCAAGGTAATCAGACATGAAAGAACTAAGTTTTCTTCACTCACATGGAAGGGGATAGCTCCCTGCGCTATAAAAAAATCAATGCACATGCTCCTGAATTTGTGTGCTCAGGGTAGGTGTGCAGATGGAACTGCACACCTGCCTCAAAGTATTTTAAAGGTGAAAATCAAGGTAACAAACAGGTAAATGAAATATGCTCTAGCCTTTATAATACCTGGGAGACCAGTTTTAAATGTAGAATTGACCTTGTAGTTCATCCGTCATCTTGGCTCCTGCCTGCAGACTGACCACTCTGAAGGGTACAACGAGAAGGTAGTGCTTCCATTAAGTGCTCCCATCTTGAGGGGCTTTGGGGGATGTGTTTGGACACCCTGACCCATATGTCCAAGTTGCTCCCACACTCTACACCTCTCGAGCCTTGGCATATAAGTACACTTCTGCCACTGTCAACCCTCAGAAGTGTGAACTTGGAGATAAAATGTTCAGGGACAGGAGGTAGGCTACAGCAATTAGTAGGGAAGTAATCATTTGGGATGCCTGGAGCTGGTTCATGTCCCTTTGGAATGACTGCAGGAGGGCCAGAGGGGTCTCCCTGAAGTGTGGGCCCAGCACGGGGCTCCTCTTACCCAAGTCTGAGAAAGGTATGGAAATTGTACAGCACATGTCTTAGAGCAGAGCAGACCTGAGCTCAAATCCCAGAGTAGCCACATACTACATGGCATGTCACCTAACATTTGGGAGCCCTAATTTTTCTTATTTTCAGTATGGAATTTATACCAACCACATCACAAGATTCTTGTAAGGCTTAAATGTGATAAAGAGACTAGCCCAGAACTAGACACATATGAGGTTGCTCATTGAAAACTATTTCTTCCCTTTCCAAAGGCTGAGTGGTTTTAAGGGCTAGGCGGATTTCAGGGTCTTATCCATCAACTCCTCTGTACCAGATACAGATGAAGGAGATGCTTCAGGGAAACAGAAATTCAGCAAGCCAAGCAGGTGCCAAGCAGAGATAAGTGTGTGAGAGCTGAGGGCCAGTTGGGCCTCGGGGTGCATGGAAGTAGATCTGAACTAAAGGCTACAAAGTAAGCAGCTTGGATTTTCAGGAGCAGGAGATAAGCTTAGAGAGCCTGTGATGAACATGAGCAAGGTGCAGAAACTAAAGCATGTCCTTTCTAGGAGCAGCTTTCTTGCAGAGACTCCCGGAGGGTGTTAAGCTGGGACTTGCTCCTTCAAGGGGTTGGATAGAAGAGCTGGACTAAAGTGAATTGGCCAAATGGATTGCTGCAATATTTTCAGCAAGTTGCTTAGCTACTTTCAGATTTGGATAACAGTTCAAGCAACACAGTCCTATAACAACATGTCCTTCTTATACCTGCTTAACCCAAAGCTTTCAGGCATAGAGTCTTCTTCTATTGGCAGGTCTTCCTCCTGCCTTTCACCATGTCTTTGCTCACACTGATTCATCTAACCGTGGTACCCTTCCCACTGGACTCTCAGCATCTGACTCTCTGAAGCTTATATTTTTTAAATTTTATTTTTCAATTACAGTTTACATTCAGTATTATTTTGTATTGTTTCAGGTGTACAACATAGTGGTCAGACAATTATATACATTACAAGTGTTCCCCTCAATATTTCCAGTACCAATCTGGCACCATACAGAGTTATTACAAAAATATTATTGACTATAATCCCTACATTGTACTTTACATCCTCATGACTATTTTGTAATTACCAATTTGTATTTTTAATCTAGTCATCTTTTTCACCCAAATTCCTTTCCCTATGGTTGCCATCACTATGTTGTCTATATCTATGAGTCTTTTTTAATTTTGTTTATTCATTTACTTCGTTCTTTAGATTCCACATGCAAGTGAAATAATATGTTATTTTTCTTTCTCTGACTGACTTATTTCACTTAGCATAATACCCTCTAGGTCTATCGGTGCTGTTGCAAATGGTAAGATTTCGTTATTTTTTATGGCCCAGTAATATTCCATTGCATGTATGTACCACGGTTTTTTTATCCACTCATCTATTTACTTGGGTTGCTGATCTTGACCGCTGCCTACTCTGAGACCTGGAAAACTGGTTTCTCCTTTGTTGCTGTCTCCACTGCCTTCTGCATCACCTCCTATCCATGATCTTGGCACCCAGGTCAACCATCACCACATCACCTATCTGCCTCTCTCACTGCCTGGAGAAGTCATTCAGTAAATGCTAACAAATGAATATTTATTAAATCCATATTTATTTTATTTTGATTATGGAAGAAATATATGTCTGTTATAAAATTTTAAAAGTAGATTTTAAGACATAGGAAACACATACACATATAAGTATATATGTGTGTATGTATATATAGTATCCATAGCTGTTGAGAGTGAATAGCAGATAACACAGTTTGGATGTATCATATGTTAATATGTTCACATAGATAAATGGATATTTAGTAAATGTTTAGTAAACTGAAAAGAAACAGCTGAGATCAGTGCTTCCTTACTATAATAACTTTTCTTTGTCTTAACCTCAAAGTTTAAATAAAACAGTGGTTCTCAACAGGAGGCAATTTTACCCCTAGAAGATATTTGCCAACATCTAGAAACATTTTTAGTTGTTGTAACTTGGGGTCATGAGTGCTTCTGGCATCTTTTGGTCAGAGGCCAGGGATCTGCCAGGCATCCTACAAAGCTCAGGAGAGCCCCACCCTTTACCAAAAAATAATTATTCAGCCCAAAATGTCTATAGTGCCAAGGTGAGATACCCTGACATGAAGAATACATATTAAACAGATCTCAAGTCCTAACTGATGGGGTAAAGAAATGTTGGGTTACTTGTTCCATATTGGATCTTTTCATCATTTGATAAGAAAACATCAACAGCAGTGCTTTGGTTTTGTTTGGCATGTTAATTTTCTATTGCTGCCTAAACAAATTATCATAAATATAGTGACTTAAAACAACATACATTAATAATCTTAAAAAGTCTGGATACAACTGTCTCAGCTGCTTCTCTGCTTAGAGAGTCTCACAGGGCTGAAGCCAATGCGTTGGCTGGGATGCATTTCTTTCTAGAGGCTCTGGGAATGAATTTGCTTCCTAGCTCATTCAGGTGTTGGCAGAATTCAGGTCCATGTTTCTGTAGGACTAATGTCCCAGTTTCTTTGCCTGCTGCCAAATAAGGCTAATGTTTAGGTTCTAAAGGCCACCCATAACCCTTGCCTTGTGGACCCCTCCCTCCATGTTCAGAGCAGGCTGCAGCAGGTGGAGTCCTTCTTACCCTTCCAATCTCTGTGACACCCTTGTGCCCCACGTCCCCCCACCTCACCCCGCCATTGCATCTCTCTTACCTACACTTCTGCCTTCCTCTTCTGATGCAAAGGGGTCATGATATTACATTGGATCCTCCAGATAATCCAGAATAATCTCCCTATGTTAAGGCCCATTGATTCATAACCTTAATTTCATCTGCCAAGTCCCTTTAAACACTGCCTAGGTGAGAGTTTCATGGGATAATCAGGAAGGAGGCTGTTGCAGGACATCTTTGGAATACTGCCTGCCACCTTTGCTATCATTCAGGGTCCATATCCCAGATCCTCATCTCTGTTCTTTCTCTTTGCTCTTCCAAGGAGAGCTTCTGCAGATGGCCCAGTTCCAATGAGCTTCCCAAAGCCTGACTGCTGGTTCCAGCCTTGACTGGGCTGGGCTGTGGGCAAAGTCTGGAGTTTATAATCACAGCTAAGAACTAGTCTCAGCCCCAGCTGTTTGGCATATGGTACTTGTGTTGGTCTCAGAGGGTCTTGTTTTTGCTGATTGTCTCACCCAGTGACATTTCCCTCCGGGACCTTGTTGGGGAGCAAGAGACTGAAGCCGGAAGGTGACTTACTTTCTCAGCTCCTGAGAAGCAGGACAGAACCAGGAAGAGGCTGTTCTCCCATCCTCCTCTGTATTGTACTTAAACTTCAGTCTTATTCAGTCTCCATGTTGCACAGCAGGAAGCTGTCAGCAGTGCCACACGTGGCTTGTTGTGGTATCAGGAATGCCAGGCTGTGCAGACAGGAGTGAGCAGAAGCCATCAGGGGCAGAGAACCAGAGCTTCCATCTAGTACTGGTATCCCCCTTGCCTGCCAGAAGGGGCCAGCCTGGGTTGGGAGCTCAAATGAGTGTCAGCCCGCTAAACAGGAGATTGAGCAGCTGCCAGGGCAAGATGATTTTTGCTATTGTCTGGACCTGTGTTTTTTTCATGAGTTGTTTTCATTCTTTTTGTCGGGTTGTATGTGTTACTTCTGTTTCCTGGTAAATTGTGGGAGAGATTATTTCCTGATTCAGCTTGAGTTTCTCCACTGTCAGAGGAACTGAACCAACAGACACACCTGCTCCCTGAAGAAGCAAGTATGGAAACAGAAAGGCCAAGGCCATGGGGGACAGGCTCCTGGGGTAGGGTGCGCAGATGCCATAGGCGAATGCTATACAGACCCCACCTGCCTAATCACACCTCCACCATTAATATGTCTAGTGACTGGGTAGGTAGCAGAATCACTTCTGAGTCTCATTTCATTTATTTTTAAAATGGGACTATACTCTTTGACTCATCATTTTGTGTCAAACATCAAAGAGGTGCTGTGTATTCCTGTCCAAAACTCTGTGCCCAGCACTGGGTGAGAAATCAGTGGATTGTGTCTGCTGTTGGTCACTGTGGCTGTTGTTCTTTTTTCAGTAGTCTCATAGGATATGTTCTCTCATTCCAAGAAGGAAGGAGGAGTGGGATACCCTGGTGTCTAGGCCATGGCTCTGAGGAAGTAGGAAAAGTCCTGTCAGTGCAAACAATGAGGCACTCTAGTTCAAACCTGTTCCCAGCCAGCCTCTGGGTTCTCCTGTGAGGCAAGGAACTTCAGGAGTCAGGGAAATGCTGTGGCGAGAGCTTGGGCAGAATGGGGGACTCAGAAGTATAAATGGACCTGTTGTCCTTCTG